ATTTGAAGGAGAACAATCGAAAAGATGATGATGCTTGTGTTTCTAAAATTAAGGCGCTAATAAGAATCTCAAACTTGAGGTTTTCTTTTTTCCTTTCTTTACTATTGTTTCTTCTCTCGTTTCTCTTTGATAAGTAGTCATGATGGTTTATTCTTTTCTTAGAAAAATATCATCTCAAATATGGTATTTGATAAGAGTTGAATTCAAAATTTAAACTTGATTGCGTCAACTTTTAAAGTAACCATATATCCTACTTTTCAAATTAGTGTTCAGAATATAGTATTTGTTAAAAGTTAGGACTTCTCACATATATATTCATGCTCCGTATGGAAAATATTGTGTTTGGTTAAATCCCTGTATCTAATAAAGTATATACACCACTGACTTTAATGTAGTTCTTTTGGAAATTTTGTAGGTCGTGTACCGGGAATATGAGAATAATACAAATGAACAGTTGATAAACTCCAATGAAGATAATAGATTAGATTAGATTAACAAGATAAATATAGCTTAAACATTCAAACTATATTATTTAAGAGAAAAGCTCTTTATAAACAATTTATCTTAAGTTACTATTAAGTTCATTAATCAAAGTGAAGTATATTAAATATAATGACTAATGATAAAGTAATTATGTTTTTCTAAGTTGAATCATGTTCCCCATTCACAACTTTAAAAGAAAATCTAAAATAGAAAAAAATAATGAGTAAATAGTTACCATTAATTCCAATGATGCTAGTTTTAAATTGCTTCAAGTGAACGATGACGATACGAAGAAATAACAGTACCACGATGAATAAGAACGGTATAAAAAAAAACGATCTTGTCATAAGTTTTAAAAAAATCCTAAACTAATTTGGTAAAATAAATTCAAAATCCTAGTTACCTTATAACACAATATTTAATATTTGTGTTCATAAAATTAAAAATAAAAATAAATTGAAAAACCTAACTTCTGTGTGCCTTAGAGTTAAGTGACAGTGTAAAAAGAGTTTCAGTGTCACTGGCACACAAGTTAATCTCAAAAAAATCAATAGCGATTTCCCAAATCTTTATTTTTTTACTATTTTTTTTCAAACAAGAAAATTTGAAATGTGATCTAGAAAGTCCATACATTATTTGACAAATAGAAACATGTCATTAGTAAAAAGCTAGAGATAAAAAGATAATTGACTAGATGAAAAATAAATCATTGAATGAAACAAATCAATCTTACAATATATATCATGTGAATGAGTATTGATCACGCCTAAAAACTGCCATTTTTATTAAATACGATACTACATTCGATTTGATTGAACTCACGTTGATGTAAAGAAAGTGTCATGGGAGAAAAGGGTTATAGAGTTGGATCCATGAAAACCCCTATATATATACCTATAGGCCTTCTAAGGCTTTTTTGCACAAAAAAGGAAAAAAGATAATGGTAATTTTTTAAAGAAAAAAAATATATATTAGTATTTTCCCAAAAAGGTTGGATTTTCTTATAAGAAAATATTAAATTTAATTTAGAAATTTCATAAATCATTTTGACAAATAAAAATATATCATTGCTAAAGTTTTTTCCTAAAATGAGACATCTGGTTTGATTTCACCAAGTACGGCAACTAAATATAACTATAGGCGCCAAGCCTTTTTTGCACAAAAAAAGGAAAAATAATAAATATATTAGTATTTTTTTTCAAAAAGGTTGGATTTTCTTATGAGAATAATTAAATTTAATTTAGAAAATTCATACTTTTGACAAATAAAAATAATATCATTACTAAAGTTTTTTCCTAAAATGAGACAATTTTGACCTGATTTCACCAACTATGACAATTAAATTTTAAAAAGAGACAATTGACTAGATTTGACCAAGTATGGCAACTAAATTATAACATGTGTATGAGCTTAATTAGATACAACAAAATATCTAGGTATAACTAAAAACAAAGCTATGAATTTTGATAATAATTTTAATTTATTAACTTTAAATTTTTATGTTGTCTTTGTTGGAGTATTTATGTGTGTTTGCTTTATATAAAATGATGCAATAGTAATACTCAATGGCATTTTATTAGGTATGTTATTATAGTAATGCAACGGATAATAATAAATATCGCTATTATAATTATAATAGATGAAGACCTTTGTTGAACAACTTAGCTTTCAAATGCTTTAATTTAGTGATAGCAGCATGATTATTTTAAAGTTCATTATCTTATATATATATACACACATCATTTCACCATAATTAAGATGAATTACAAGTATAGTACAATTTAAAAATTATTTTAAATATCTATTCCACATTTATGGAGTAATATTTATGCAAATTTGATATATATGAGGTTATTGTTGCTTTATATGACTTCCACACAAACGATGATATAAAAACATTTTATGCAAAATTTTGATGATAGAAAATATTTTTACTAATACAACTAGAGTTAACGTTATTAATTTTATTAAAGTAGGAGTTCTTTTATGTACAACTAAAAGCGTTCAAACGCTTTAATTTGGTGGTAATAACACAATTATCTCGAAATTTGTGGAAAGATTTAAAAACTACTATTTATTTTATTGATACATTAGGGTAAGTTTAAAAAATAATCCGAATCGTCGTTATTTAAGAAGAGCAAAAATTTGCAAAAAATTTAGACTTTAGCAGGACAGTTGTCGCTGGCGGTGCGGAGTTGCCGCTGCAGCAGAATCGGCGAGGCAGAATTCGAAATTTTGAAATTTTTTTATTTTTTCATCTTTCTAAAAATAACCCATAGGTCGTGAATTACCCTATAAACCTCAGAAAAGTTATTCCAAGCTTGGGAAAGAAGGAGAAAGAGCTTTTTAGCATGTGGATGACGGAATCTTGCGAATTCTTGGCCAAATTCACCGTAGCGAATCCGTAAAGCTAGAAAGAAATCAAAATTGTGTGCAAATTGATTGACGCTCAGGTAGGTTAGATTTTTATGCATTGAGTAGTTGCAAACATGTGCTTACCTTGTAGTATACGAAATCAATCGTAAAAGATATGTGTAGGTCTTCATGCACCGAGTAAATTTTGTGAAAAAGTTCTATAATGCAACGTATTTGGGGTTAGTGCTTGATGTAGCGAATGGATGGTCGATGGAGTGCTCTTAGTTATTTTTATTTTAGTAGAATTCATTCATTAAACAAGGATATCTGGTGGAAGGGAATAAATTTCGGTCCATACTAGGTTCGACCTATCGAAATAACTCGTTGATGAATGTTTAGTAATTTAGGTTTAAAACCCTAATGACGAAACCTAATGAAGAACTAGGGTTGAACTTGGTCTCTTTTCTGATAAGAATTGGGGGAAAATTTGTAGGTGATGGTTATAATTTCGTAATTGTGTGATGTATGCATGTTCTTGCTTTAGTGTGATACTTGTATGTATATGAATGGTTCAATATTGATCACACTTGTTGTAGCAGAGATAGATGAATGAGGTAGCCATGAAATCATGATGTAAATGTATGATCTTGATGATGTACTGATACTACTCTTGAATGTGGCAATCCGATCATACCAGTTGCACTAATACTACTCTTGCTATGTCTTTTTGATATAGTCTGGATGCATGATTGGTGATGTTTGATTAGGTGAAGATGAAGAAATTCTTCCAGTAGCTTCGACTCTTCTTTCCGCATGGTGGGAGTTGTGTTCTTTTATTTAATTATTATCTATCGTTACTTTTAGTAGCTCTTGTACCTGTTAGACTAGATCTTTGGGGTTGTTAATTGTTTTACTAGTCTTAACTAGTTCTTGAAAAAGAGTTGTTATAAAGATTTTATCTATACTACATCTATGTTTCGTCAATTTTTCGCATGTATAATTCTTTTGGGTATGAGAATTCTCCTACTTAGTGCTAGAATAGGTGCCCGCACGGCCCGATGGGTTGGATCGTGACAGTATGCAGTATGCTACTAATATAAACTACACTCAGACCTGCTTTCTAACTTTAAAAGATGATTAATCAGTCTTCAAAAAAAAATTTCTTCGTTTCTACAGAACACCTGATATCAAACTCTATAGGTATAGATTTGGTGAATCAAAAAGAATGTGAAATAAATATACCAATCAATAGAGAACTTCTTTTTTACAATTATGAATGTTTAATGAAATAGAAAACTTGAGGAAAAAATATATCAACATTCTATTTTTATATCTGATACTCCGCAACTTTCATATAGCTTTTGCCTATCTTAATAATGTTTTAGCTATGACCCAAGCATAAAAAGATTACATTAATCTCGAAGTAGTGGATGATTGAGATAACTAGTTCTAAGATTTTTTTCGTAGCTCTAATTTTAAAAGATGATAAATCAAATCTTTGAGTTATACTCTCATTTAGATTAAAAATAATTTTGACGATATACTCTCTTTTATTTTCCATCTGTCCATTCTTCATCTTCAGGATTTATCAGTTATCGCAATTCTCGACTAATTTTTTTCTAGAATTGCTAGTAACTAAGTATGTAATGTATTGACTATTTTTGTCTCAATCCTAGTACCTAGTAATATATAAATATAACTAGTTTTGTCACGTAATCGATATAGATTGTGATGGGATGATTGATATCCCTCCGATTTCGGATTCAAATCCTCGAAAACGGAAAGGGAAAAAAAACGCTAGAAGGAGGGCTTGAACCTCCGACCTTGTGGTTAACAGCCACACGCTCTAACCAACTGAGCTATTCCAGCTTATGTTTATCATTAATGCATTTCATACATATTCAATTTTACTGTCTCAACTTACAAACATTCCTTAGGCACATATTTTCATATTATAATTTATAAATATTGTGGTCTCAAGCTTTTTAATGTATATATTGTTTTTGAAAATAAATTTTCAAAGCAGTGTAGTTTAACCATATAACATTCAAAAATAAAAAAGTCTTGAACACATGAAACTATGTATGTTTAGGAGAAATCTTGTAATGTCATCGCAATGTATCACTTTACAAAAATGTCATCCCAATCGTGTCAGATAGTAGTAGTTGTAATCACTATGTTACATGTCAATATCAAATATGTATACAAAATCAATAATTTCAACACCATGTAAAATACTGTTAATATGAGTTGGAAACTAAGGAACATATATCCAAAGTACTAGTCAAAAAGTGTTATACACAACCAAATTTGTCTTCAAAATTTTGCTAATTCATCATGTTGTAATGTATTGGAACTAACAGTAACGTAGTTGGATGCTACGTACTTGTTAGTTCCCTCGTCGATGTTTCAGTTGGCATCAGAAAGTATCTCACACCAATGTACATTGCAATACTAATAACAGTGATAGTAACAGGAGTAGCAAAAACTAACAAGTTTTTGGTTGGCTTGTTGTCGCGTTTTTTGGAGATGGATTGAAATGAGTGAGCAGACCTCTCGGATCGATTGTTCATGAAGGAAGAATAGGAAGCAACCTCTTCTTTGGTAAGTGCTGGCTTGAGTGACTTTTTGACTGTTTGGAAGTGTCTATCAGATACAACTGTTGCAGATATGTTCTCTCTCAACGCAACTATTCCAGCTTCTCTGCATAGTCCTTCAAGCTCAGCTCCAGTAAAGAGCTCTGTGTCTTCTGCAATTTGTCTCAGATTAACATCGTTATTCAATTTCATATCTCGTGTATGAACACTGAGAACCTCAAATCGAGCTTCCAAGTCAGGAGGGGGAACATAAAGAACCTGTAAGCAGAGAAAATTGAATAAGATATGACCATTAACGAGTAAAAAGATTGTTCTTTAAGAGTAGCATTTGTGTTGAGATGCTAAGTTACACTAAGCATTCACGAGTTTCTTACGAGATCAAATCTTCCTGGTCGCATTAGTGCAGCATCAATTGCGTGGGGGCGATTTGTGGCAGCCAAAACAAGAATTCCCTGACAAAGCAACGATTAGAAAAAATGGGATTTACATTCAGTACTTGAAAAACTGCAATAAATTTACTGCTTACTTTAGCCTGCTCTAAGCCATCCATTTCGGTTAGGAGGGTGGATAACAGTCTCTCTCCAACCGTACTGCTTCCACTTGAACTTCCTCCTCTGTCATTTAAGAAAAAATCGTATCAGGGTTGTGCCTAAACAATGAGAATTGAGGAAGATATACTTAAACTCGCAAGACATTGCTAAGCTAAATAAACTTACCGTTTGGTTGCAACTACATCGGCCTCATCAAAGAATATTATACTTGGTGCTGCAAGGCGAGCTCTTCGGAAAGCATTGCGTAATAAAGCTTCACCCTCACCAACATACATAGAGTACAGCTCTGCACCACTGTTCCATGATTATGAATTTCAGGGAACTAAGTAATTAGGATTTGCAATTTTTAGTCAAATCGAATGCATGAAGTAATAATTAGTCAATACATTACATACTCAGTTACTGAAAACAAGCTAATAAAGATGGTTAACATAATAGTAAATACCAATGTGATGCCTTAGGCTCCAAAGGGACATAAACCCCAGCATACATTAGAGATTTAATTAGAGCGTACTAAATGACAATCTTTCAAACTAAACATGTTTTTGGTTTTCCCGAAAATGTGATACAAGTTAGAATTTAACATGTTTTAGGTTTTCCAGGAACTGTCATATAAGTTGGCAAAGGCTGATGGAGACAAGCATCACTCACTTGTTGCTAAGCAATGCATGAAACAATTATTAAACAATAGTGATAAACTTACTGGATGCATCAAAAAAAATGCTTAAATTAGAATAATAGTTGACAATAAAGAAGATAGAAAAAGGTGAAAAAGCTATGCATAAGTGCAAGCACCACCAAGTGTGGTGCTTGCACTTATCCAATATCTTATCACCAGTTATTGGATCATTTTAACTTTCTTTTTGGTGATGGTGGTATATAGGTCAGTTTGTGCCCACCTCGACTATTTCATAAGATACCTACTATTTCTCATCAACACAGGTACCGGTAACTCTGTCCACCAAGATAGATGATGGGACAAAATCACTTAATTTGTTTGCCTCACCGAAATTAGAACCTAAGACCTCATCGTTCTCCTCCCACTTCATTGACCACTAGGCCACATCCTATTGTGCTCATTTTGATTTATCAGCGAATGCATGTTTCCTTTTTCCTAGTAGAAGCATTTATATCTAAAAACCATCATTACTTATGAAAGTTATCATTTATCAACCTCAAACAGCAGACAAAAGATTTAATTAGAATGATAACCAGACCTCAAGGAAAAGAATGAAGCTTGGGCAGCATGAGCAGCAGCTTTAGCAAGGGTTGTTTTGGAGCACCCTGGTGGACCATGAAGAAGGATTCCACGGGAAGGTGATACTCCCAACCGTTCAAATGCTTCTGAGTGTTTTAAAGGCCATTCAACAGCTTGCTGAAGCTTTTTCTGTTTCAAGAATTTAACACCTTATTAGATTTTGTCAATATTCAGCCTGACCAAATTGTTCGTGTGAGGTCATACCTTAATGTCTTTCAACCCTCCAATATCTTCCCAAGAAACCTTCGGGATTTCAACAGTAACACCCCTCGTTATACTAGGACCAACCACCGATCTTGCATGCTTCCAATCTTCCATATTAATGCTGTAAGAGTCATCGTCCAGATTTGAGTCAGAGCACTTTCTTACTGCAGACATTGCAGCTTCCCGACACAGGGCCTCTAAATCTGCCCCAACATAACCATTACAAGATGCAGCAACTGCTCGAAGATCAACACTCGCATCCAATTGAAGCTTCTTTGTATAAAGCTGAAAAATCAAAAACCCGCATCACTAGACCAATTTCATACAGATCATACTACAGAAGGGATTGAAAAACCATAGGTGTCCACAAAGAGTACTCATTCATGTATCTCCTTAAACTGGGGCATGCTCAAAACTGTATCTTATGCAGCTCACCTTGAGAATATGCATCCGCTCTTCCTCAGTAGGTGTGGTGACTTCAATTTCAGCATCAAACCGTCCAGCCCTTCTTAAAGCTGGATCAATAGCATCCGGCCTGCACATAAAATGATAAAATATATAGGCATCAACGTTAATTTGGAACACAAGCATAGAATTTCATGACCATCAGAAGGATATTTAGGGGTTTGGTGGCTTGCTTACATAAACTAAGCTAGCATTGTCTCTTACTTACGTTTTCTTGTAGGATATCACAGTTAACATACATTATATATGATCATTATATTTGTGGGGCAACTGTTTAGCGAAGGCCACATTAGCAAATTGGCATAGGCCTCGTATCATGACCCTAACGCTTGCTGCAATTCTGAATAACTTCATCTTCTATTTCTCCATCTCTAGTGTTCACTTCCTTTATAGCAGATCCTTCGATTTGTTTATTGCCACTCACTTAGTTCATGAACAATTTGATACTCATTCTCAAAGCTAAATGCATCAACAATGCTCTCATCAAGGAGCTCAAAGTCCATTTTATCATGCAGACCTCCAGATGCCTCTTTGCCAGACTACATTTCTTTCCCATTCTCAAGTCCATTACTTTCTCATAAGAGTACTTCTTCAAGCACATTGTTAATGCAATGAGATTGTTCAACCTCCAACCCCTTTTTGTGTAAATGTCTTCACTGCAAATACATGGCCTACAGATTCCCGTGTGAGGGGCTGAGGGCTGCTAGGAAGCTTTAATGGATGTTTTTACTTAAAGAACAGGCTTACATGAGAGGCACAGGACAAGGCAATCCACTACAAAAGTAAAAAAATTAATAAACCAAACAAAGCAAATGTTGCAGAACCCTTACCTATTGGTTGATGCTACCACAACAACGTGTGATACTGATGTCGATGAGGATTTAATGGAATCCATCAACATAAAGAGTTGAGACGCTACACGAATTTCTTGTTCCCTTCTGCAATTCAAGCACTCAAATAACATGTTAGTAAAGAATATTGGAATATATCAACTCTACCCTACCAACATCTTCTTCTATTTTTTCCGGTTTTGTAAATCATGATTGCAAGCCCATTTTCATATGGATGTGGATAAAGTGATGCAACATATACCTAGAATCTCTACGAGGACAAAGAGCATCTATTTCATCTAAAAAGATGACTGATGGCTTGCCTAATTTTGCATGAGATGATGCTTCTGAAAATGCCTCCCTCAAAATTTTCTCACTTTCACCAGCATGAGCCCTGTGAACAGAATGGGGACTGCAAACATCCAAAGCCAGAAAGAACAATAAGGCAAAGAAACATACAGAATGCAAGATTCTCCTTGAAGTTCAATGACTTCATTTTTCTCTTAATGTATGCAAAAGTGTGGAGTCACCTCACAATATAACTAGCATCAAAAGCTAAACTCTTTCAGAGCACAGACATTTTTCAGTTATTTAAATATTATCAAGGACCATAACGATCACAGACTGCTCAGTGATTCAATCGACAGATCTGAACGAATTAAATAAATTTCTTCCAAGCATACTTATAACGAACTTCTAGTATTTTTTTGTTGTAAATACGGGTCCTCAGATGAACTAAATTGGAGATGTATGGTTGGTAGAACTCATATCGACTACCCCAGCTTGCTTGGCTGGAGGCGTCGTTGTTGTTATCGGCCAAGCATACATAATAACGAAACGAAAACATCGAACAAATAAATACAAATCATTACTTTTATTGTACATAAGCAACAAAAACAGAACATATTTAAAAGTTCAGAGAAAATAAAGTTGAGTGAGAATCACACACACCTTATTACAATCAAATGGGCACCACATTCTTGAACAACTGCTCGAACTAAGCTTGTCTACAATTTTAAAAAACTACAAAAGTTAAACCAAACAGCTATTTTTTCTGAACAGGAAAATCAAACAACTATCTTGAACCCAAAAATCCAGAGGTATGATTTTGACACAAATCCAAATGTCAATTGTAAAATTGATAACACAGGATATGGCTCAAACAAAAATGTCAATTTTGAGATTCAAAGACATGATTGTGGCTCAAATACAAATGTAAATTTTGAAATTCAAAGACATTATTGTTGGCTCAAACTCAAATGTCAATTCCAAAATTCAGACGTAATTTTCGGCTCAAACCCAAATGTCAATTTCCAATTTCAACAATCATGGTTTTGTCTCAAAACCGAAAAGTCAATTTCAAATTTTAAAAAAAGACATCAAGAATATACATATACTGTACCTTTCCAGTTCCAGGAGGTCCATATAGCAACAACCCACGTGGCCACTACAGAAAAAATAAGCAAAGCAACTAGAGTTGTCAATGAAAGATGATAAGCTATATATCAAAGCTACACTATCTGGAAAAACTTTTAGTACCTTTAGGCCAAGTTTTCGAGATTCAGCAGAGTAAAGAAGAGGATAGGTGATGAGTTCTCTGAGAACTCGAAGAGCTTCAGCATTACCGGCTATAGCTTCTTCTGCTTTCCACTCACCAGCACAGCTGCTACTCCCACTGCTACTTTCCATCTCTCAGAGTATGCTGGAGAGGCCAATACTTTCCAGCTGTGTGGTTGGTGGGGGTTTACACTTTTGCCTTAACCCCTGTTTGGATAACCCCAAAATTCTCAACTTTGGAGCTTCATCCAAAATAGCTCCTAATATATAAAGAAAAAACTATTAATGTTGTAAGTTCTCAAAAGTTGATGCATATTTAGTTTAGTATAGTTAATAGAACATCAAAATGAGTCTACAACTTGAGAAATAAACTGCCCCCAACAGAAGCCATTATTCAACAAGCAGAAAGATTCAAGAAAGTACCCAACATATAATTAGTGGTAGCAAATTTTAAAAAAAAAACACCAAAAGAATCTTTGAACATTCCAGAAAATACCCAACATATAACTAGTGGTAACAAGAATAGGGTTCTGAATAAAAAGTTCTAACCTTGTGAAGAAAATCACTCTGTCAGCAATGGCCGCTTTAGTCGTTGAGTGTTCTATTTTAGTTTTCTGAAAAAGGGTTTTAGCCTAAGTAGAAAAAAATTAAACTTTAAGGGCAATTTTGTCCTTTTAAAAATATTTTGATATTTCATAAACCTTTCTTCCTACTTGGTCTTAAAAGTTCTGTTTGTAGGGTTTAAGGAAGCTGCAGGACAAAGAAAGATGTGTGGCATAGCAGTGATTGTGTCTGGAATTAAGATAAGTTTATCATCTTTAGACCCAAATTTTATCTCTCCAATACCTTTATTGGAACAAAAGGTAATAGTATATAACTCTCTTTACTGAAATAACCATTGATTCAAGAATAGCTAAACTGCAGCCTTATTAGGGCCTTTATTTACTTCTGATTTCATATTTGCTACTCTTTTTTGTATCTTTAGATGAAACCCTTTTGCTGCTACATCTAAAATAAGTTTAAAAAACAGCATAAAACTGCCTGGAACTGAAAAGGGGAATTGGAGAAAGGTAGCTTTTAATTAAAGAATTAGATGAAAGGAGCTATCTTTGCATCTTAATGAGGAAAGATTGATGTGAAGCTTCTAAAGTTGTTGTCTTTTTTCATGTATAGTTATATGAACCCCATATGCTACAACATATAAATTATGTAGAAGAGGAACAACTAAAAGAAGCTATTTGTTTAGCTTTATGATGAATGAGGTTTCTGTCGTTATGTTTCTTTAAAATTTGTTTGATTGATCTGCCCAATTTTCATACAACCTGTGAATGAAGTAAAAGCAGCATAAGAGCTTCCTGCAATTGAGAAAGGGAAATTTTAGAAAGATAGCTTTGATGAAAGGATTAAAAGAAATACCTTTGCACCTTAATGAGGAAACATTTATGTGAAGTTTCTAAAGTTGCTATCTTTCATCTCTCAACTTCTGAGTCGTTAGATGTACCCCTCTTGCTACAATGTCTAGATTAAGTAGATGAAGCAAAAACAGCATAAAAACTTCCCGCAACTGAAAGGGAAATCTTAAAAAGACACCTTAGGTAAAGAATTAAAAGAAAAGAACGATCTTTGTACCTTAATGAGGAAATGTTGATGTGAAGTTCTAAAGTTGTAACCTCATCACTCGTTTCTGAATCGTTAGATGTTCTAAAGATGTAACCTCATCACTCGTTTCTGAACCGTTAGATGTACTCTTTTTGCTACAACGTCTATATTAAGTAGAAGATAAACAATTAAAAGGACTTGTCTCTAGCTTTATGATGAATGATTTTGAAGTTCCTGTTATTGTTTTCCTTTATAATCTTTTTGATAGAGCTGCTCTTTTTTGTACGTCTCAAATGAAGAAAAAAACAGCTTAAAAACGGCTGCAACTGAAAAGAGTAACTTAAAAAAGCTAGCTTTGATAAAGAATCAAAAGAAAAGAGCTATCTTGCTCCTTAATGAGGAAGATTGATGTGAAGTTTCTAAAGTTATCTTTTTAATTTTTGAGTGATCTTTAGAGGCTGACAACGTTTTATATTGTCATTAGACTTTATTTTCAGTGGATGACATAAAACGGGTGTTAAGAAGAAGGGGTCCAGATAGTTTGGGATGCAAGAAAGTTTTACTTCGTGCCAGGGTTTCATCTTTACCAGGTGGGGAGCAAGATGTTGTTGCCTTTGTGGAGGATGAAGATGCGAGTGAAGGAGAGAATTTTCATACGGGCGGTGGCGCTGCTAAAGAATTCATTAGAGAATTGCAATTTCTTGGTGCTACATTGCAGCTTAGAGGCATAAATCCTATTGTTCAACCATTGGTGGACATGTCAGGGAACATCCTTGTTTATAATGGTAATACAACCATTACCAACAAGATAAACTGAAGTGTCTCTTCGATTTCTTGCTTCTTGACTTTCTTATGTTTGATATATTTTGTTTTCAACTTAATTGATGTTTTAATTTTGGAGAGTCAAACAATGTACACAATTATGAAGTTCTTGTTTCGCTTTACTTTCAAGTGATTGGACAAATGAAGATTTTACAATTTTAGTTTTCTTGTTTGCTCAAACAATTCAGTTTTTTTTCCTCAAACAAGTTGCTTGCTTCAGCATTTTTTCTGTCTTATATATTTTTCATTTCTGTTGAAGTTAGTCAAATCTTTTTTCTAAACTAATGAAAATATTGAAACTTAATTTATTTATTTTCTAATCAAAACTAATTACTACTGTCCTACTTTTACCCCATTTTCTAGGAGTCTTTCATTGACTGTTGTTTGTTTCCTGTAATTATTGTTTAGGTGAAATATTTGGAGGCATCCAGATGAGTAGCGATAACAATGACACTGAAATTTTTATGCAACATCTAGGACTATGTTGTTCTCATGTTTCCTCTCCGCATAATAAAACTCATACTTCTGGGGATAAGCAAAGTACTGTTCCAGAACTTCTTTCCAGTATCAAGGGGCCTTGGGCTTTGATTTATTGGCAGGTAACTTTTGGTGGTAAGTTTCTATTGGTTTATTTCAGCAGGAAAGGATGTATTATTTTGAAACAAAGGCTTGTCTAACGTTCCACTACTCTTTGCTATAGAGTAGTTCAAGAATATTATGGTTTGGTCGAGATGCATTTGGAAGGCGAAGCCTTCTTGTTCACTGGCCAACAAAGGAGGACCCTCGGTTTCTGCTGTCTTCTGTATCACCACATGCCTCTGTAAATGAAAGTTCTGGTAACAATTATTAACATCTTACCACTTACTGATTTCTTTTAACACAATTAAGATTTCTTGGAGAAGCTTCAACTTATTTTAAATCAAATCAGTTGCCATTTATCTTTTATGGGAACAACTCTATTAAATTATCAATAGTGATGATTGAGCATGTACACCCAAGAACATATAACAATCCAAAATATTGTGTGGAGCTAAGCGTTTTGGTGATTTGGCCATCCTCTCTTTGTGAAGTTTGGTGCTTCATAAAATCATTACTGAAAAGCTGTCTATTAGTTAGATAAAATATTTGATGTTGGAAGAAAGTTGATATTACTTGTTTGTTCATTGTTCGATATTTTAAAATTTAGAAACATTAATGTTATAATTATTTGACATTGTTACCTACCAACATGAAAGAGAAAAAAAAACAAGCAAAACATGGCAGCAGTTGGTAGTATAGTCTATAGCTCCTTTATTCTTAACGAGTGGGACACTATGATCTTGTAGAATTTGCAGATGGAGAGGGAATATCCAAAACAGACTTCTGGGAAGAACTTCCATGCGGTGTGTACAGTTTGTCTATTGGTGATTTAGGAACAGATGACTATTTAATTGGTGAAGTTTTGAAGCATGACTGGACAGATCCAAAGCTGAAGGAGTTAATCACTTGGGAGAGAACTTCTGTCCAACCAAAACCAGAGGACTTGCACGTTTCTCACCAAAAGGTTTATAGCAAGAAAGAGGACTCGCCTTTAACTCCTTCCATTCTGATGGAATCTAAGTTAGGTGACCATATTACTTAGTTCTGCTGTTAATACCATTCACTACATGTTTGGTGGATGTAGTAATTGTGATTAAACATGCTGTCAGAGTCTAACTTGAGTGCAATCTTCTTCCAATTATTACAGCTTCTACAGACTGCCTACTTACATCGCTACCACATAGGGTAATGATTGCTTTACAAGAGTCAATAATGCGACGCACTGCATTAAATACAATCTATCTGGTCAGAAACTGATAACTTTTGTTTTCTGTTTTCACCCAATGTTTAGAACTAACATTTGACTCCTGTGGATACATGTATTGATTTAAGAAGCCCTTCAATGGAACAGGAAGAGCATAAGCTGTTGTATTAGCTTTCTGAATTGACATAATTCTTGGCTATTGTGTAGGCCACTTCAGTTGACTACACAAATAAATGCAATGCTCCAGTTGCCGTGCTCTTTTCTGGTGGATTAGACTCTATGATACTAGCAGCATTACTAGATAAGTGCATGGATGCCAAATGTGAGTGTCTCTGATGTCCATCTTGCTTGAGTTAAGAATAGAACATTTTTCAAGTTCCTTTCCTTTTGGTTTTACCTGTGGAAAATTTAATCTAGTCATGGTCTATTCTGGTGGTTTACTTGTAGATGAAATTGATCTGCTAAATGTAAGCTTTGACGGTCCATTTGCTCCTGATAGAATCTCTGCTAGAGCAGGTCTAAAGGAACTACAAAAAGTTGCCCCATCAAGAAGGTATCCATTCCCTTCTTGCTTTCACTTGTACCATTAGCAACTGGATATCTTAGTGAGAAATCAGCAAGATGACACACTTGTGTCTAAAAATGCATGTTGATAATGCCGGTTTGATGAATCAAGCAAATTATGAGTCCGAATTTAAATGAAATCATAGCTCTATGGACATTGAAGAATTTTGGCAATTTAAAAAATGGTCCTACTCAATGTACCTTCTTTAGATACGAATATATTAGGTTGCTCATGTGACAGCAAATGCAATTTGGTTTTGAACCTCTACCATTTTGTTTCTCTCCATCTTCTGTTCTTTCTTTTTGAGTTTTGTTCATCATAAAACTGAGTTGCAGATGGAAACTTGTAGAGATTGATGCTGATCTGCTTAAGCTGACCTCTGAAACGAAGCATGTCATGTCACTAATAAATCCTGCAAGGACCTACATGGTATTTTCAAATCAATACCTATATGAATATGTCTCTGTTACTTTGTCATTTTGAACCACAATCAAATTGCTCAATTATTTCTTCCTTGCTTCAGGATCTGAATATTGGTATTGCTCTGTGGTTGGCTGCTAGCGGTGACGGTTGTTTGCAAGATGAAACAGGCAACGATGATACCTGTGTCAGTGTCAAGTACAAATCTGCAGCTCGGATTCTCCTAGTTGGTGCTGGTGCAGATGAACAATGTGCTGGATATGGTCGGCATAGGACAAAATATAGAAATGGAAGGTGAAGTCCTCCTGAACATCTTTTCTTTACTTAATGCATTCCTGTTGACTCATTTTATGATATCCATTACGTCCCAGTTATGCGTAGGTTTGCCATCCTCAAAAGTACTTGGGGCAACTAGCACTGGGGTGCATTCACCTCTTGTTTATATAATGTTGCTACATACCACTTCAAAGAAGTTGCTTTAGTAGTTCCAAAAGCTTAAAGTGGTAATTGCTTATGTTCTAATTCATTTGGTGCTGTATGCCTGTATCAGCTGGTTAGCTCTGAATGATGAAATGAAACTAGACATGCAGCGGATTTGGAAGAGAAACCTTGGGAGAGATGATCGGTGTATTGCCGACAATGGCAAGGAGGTACTTGAATTAGCCTTAAACGGGGTCTTTCTTATATTATAGTTACAGTCTAAACGTATTTTCTGTTTGTCGCAGGCCAGGTTCCCTTTCTTGGATGAGGATGTCATTAGGATTTTGCTAGATATTCCGTTGTGGGAGATTGCTGACCTTAATCAACCAATTGGTATTGGTGACAAGAAAATCTTGCGAGAGGTTAATTTCACCTTTGAACTTAATCTTAGACTGGATTTCGAAATTACATCAACAATGATGTCGTGATCCTTTGTTTGTATCTGTACTTGCCCTCTAATTGTATCTGTGCACTCTGCAGAAGAAGTATATTATATCAGGACGATTCGCTCTTCCCCTTTCTACAATCTTTCACTTAAAATCTTTTTCTCTAGCAGGTTGCACATTTACTTGGTTTGTCTGAAGCAGCTTCACTTCCGAAAAGAGCAATTCAGGTATATATGCTCTTTATCTTTCGTTGAGGTCAATATTCTCCGATTCGTGTATGGTTCACAAAACGCCATCTTAATTGAGAAGTTCGGTTAGATTTGTAGGTACCAGCTGTTGCTTGTTACAGTACTATTGCTCAAATTTTTAACATTGACACGTTTACTCAACTACGTTTAAACTTTATCTTTCAGTTTGGTTCAAGAATTGCAAGAGAATCAAATCGGAAAAATTTTGGAAGCAACCGTGCAGCCAATCAAGCATCTGCTGGAAGTGTAACGATACACAGAAATAACTCATAATCTACATATATGTAAACTCCATTCAGGAATCAAGACCACAAGCAAAGCAAGCGTGGAAAGATAAAAAGGCTCTATGATGATTTGTCCCGCGTATTATTTTGATGGACGATTTTTGTGAGTCCATGATCGAGATACTATTGTCTGTCTTCATGTTCGATACAGTGAATACTTGTCTTGATCTCTTGGTTGAACGATACTCGCGTTTTTTTGGGAGAAAATGAAGTGGGATTGTTAGTCAATGTTGCTTCTACTAGGTTGTGTTCTTTGTCTTTCAATTTGTCTATAGGTTCCCTTTATCTGCAGCTGATTGAAAAAATAAAGCACACAACATGGTTGGTGCTTTTCTGATACACTGGTAACTCACCCATTATGACTGATTTTGGATATTACTACATGTTGTAATCCTACGAATAGGGTCTGGAGAAGGTAGAGTATGTTGACTTTAGGGATCTTGTGTGATGTAGAGAGATTGTTTCTAATACAGACTCGGTAACTGACTTAAGAAATGCAAGAAGAAGGGTGAGGTGTATTAAGATCTTAGTCCTACCTTGTGCGTGGTAGAGAGGTGTTTCGGATAGTGATCTTTTGCAATAGACGGCAGATATTGAAAGATTGAAAAAAAAAACAGCAAAGGAAAAAGAAAGGTATGCAGACCTTACTCTTATTTAAAAGGTGTTTTCGATAGAAACTAATTGGTTATCGATTTTGGATATTAGAAGAAAATATAGATGAGGTAGACCTTAGTCCTACCTTGTGTGAGATCGTGGAGGTGTTTTTGATAGAGACTCGATTATCAATTTGGATATTAAAAGAACAAATTGAGGAGGTCTACCTTGTGTGAGATCGAGGAGGTGTTTTCGATAAAAACTCGATCAACAATTTGAATATCAAAAGAAACAATAGAGGAGGTAGACCTTACTCCAACCTTTTGTGTGCGATTGAGAGGAGGTGTTTTCGATAGAAATTCGGTTATCGATTTCAGATATTATAAAAAAATACCTTGTGCGAGATCGAGTATGTGTTTTCGATAGAAACTCGATTATCAATTTGAATATCAAATGAAAAAATAGAGGACGTAGACCTTACTCCAACCTTGTGTGTGATCGAGGAGGAGGTATTTTCGATAGAAATTCGATTATCGATTCCGGGTATTTTTAAAAAATAAGGTTGTTAAAAAACGCTAGAAGGAGGGCTTGAACCTCCGACCTTGTGGTTAACAGCCACACGCTCTAACCAACTGAGCTATTCCAGCTTGTTGTTCAATTATCAGCCAAAATTAAATTATATCAAACAACATGTAAAAAGTGAATATAATAATTATAACCTAACAACAATAAATTGAATTATATATTTTTTTAAAAAAAAAATCAAAATCAAAATTGAGTTTCATCCAAATTTCACCAAAGTGAAAAATCATTTTTGAATAATATTACTTATGGTCACCCAAACGCATCATTAATCACATTTAAAACTCAAAATAATTAATGTCAAAGCTTCTTAGAATTAATGGAAAACTTAAGGACTACATTTATAATCAACATAAAAATTTATTTCAAAAGTCTTAAGTTGTATACTTGATTTTTAAATTAGTCTTCAAAACAGTCAACAAATATAGTAATTGAAGCTTTTATTTCAAATACAAAATTACATTTATTATTGTAAAAATGCTCCTATGCATTTAAACAAATAATTAATCATAGTTTTATTTTTCCTTTTAATTTGATGTGTTTTTATTTGATTGGATTTTACTTTAGTAAAATTTTAAACTAAAATTATAATTAATATACCAAAAATACATAAACTTTTTAATTTTAATATATGATGTTAGAATATTACAATTTAAGTGATACTATATTAAAATTTAAGTTATGCTATCTTTTAGAATAGATCATAATTAAAATGATAACCTTTTTTTTAAATTGAAAAAAGTATTTTTCAAAAAATATTTTCCAGATACACCCTTATTCTTTTTTCTCTTTCCCCCCTTTGTCATTTTTTTCTTTTATATAGTGTAGCAAAAACTAAATATCATTTTATAATACATTTTTACTTGATTTGTGTAGATTCAATTGAAGAAAATCGTCTTTTATATAATGTAGCAAAAACTCAATATCTAATTAAGATTTTATGTGTCAAAGTGAAAAATATAAATCATTAAATATATTCTATATTTGGTTAAAAAATAATAATATAAAGAAGACGTTTACACATGAATTGAATTAATTGATATTTGAAAAAATAGTATATATTTGAAGTTAAGTTGAAGAAGAGTAATATCTATAGGTTGAAGTTGCATTCGGATATTAAAACATATTAAAATTTTGATATAAAAATTAAAAAAATTAAAAGTAGTATTTAGAGTTAAAAAAAAAAAGTCGTATTTGTGTCTATACATAATTTTTTTTAAAAGAAAATATAGTTGAAATTTTGTGAGTAAATATTTGAAAAAGATACAATATTACAAATTTTTATTTTTAAAAAGTTACTCACGAAACTTTAATTATGTTTTGTTATGTCCTAATACAAGTATGATTTTAAAATACCTTTTCTCAATTTTATGTCCAAATACAACTTATTTTAATCTTTTTCAATTTAACTTCAAAATGCGTACTTTTTCTAAATATCAACTAATTTATGTCCGAAAGCCTACTTTATATTATTTCAATATTTTTTTATAATATATATGTAAGAAATATTTAATGATTTACGAGTTTTACTTTTGATATATAAAATCTTAGTTGAAATAGGAGATATCTTCTCAGTATTTACCTCTTAATATTTTTTTGGGATCTCTTCGTCAATCTGTTACTATAAATTCATCACATATTATTCATTTTATTTATTTTTTTGTAATTTTAACACATTTTCTACATAGGTATTTACAAATTATATATTTCTCTTTTGCCTCTTTATTTATTTATTCTCTTGTATGAAACTTTTGATGTTTTGTTGTGTGATTTTCCAATGATCTTTTTTTTTAATGATTTCTCAAAATCTCGTATTTTTTATTTCTTGAATGTTTGATATATATTGATTATCTTTTAGGTTTTATAATTATGAATTATTAATTTTGTAGCGTAGTTGCATTTTTTTTTGTCAATTCTTGAATTTGTAACTTTTTTTAATTTTTTTTAGATTTGATGCTTTTAAAATTTTAATCAAGTTCTATGATGCTACATTTTATTAAAAGGCCTCAATTTGTGTTCATTTTGAAGTTTCTCCAATGGTTTTATTGGATGTGATTTTTACCAATTTGATAGGGCTATGGAGTTTTGTTAACGTACATTATCATTGTGACCTTGTATTTTTTTAGCCCAATTTACGATATATTTGTTGAAATTGTAAAATTAACGATATTTGAATTGAATTTTTTTTGATGTTTAACATAAATTTTATTTGAAAAATATTAAAGTTTAACGAATGAATATATTATTTCACTTGAAATACGATTCGATTTTCTCTAAAAACAATTTCTATTTAAATAAAATGGACCAAGTTTGTAAATAAGTATAATTTTTAAAATAATATTTCTTTTAGTTTGGTTTTTACCCCATCCTATTCGCACATTACACAAGAGAGATGAGACCAATTTAATTAGTACGTCAACAAAACATGATGTTAATATTATTATTTGTTAATTAAATTCATAAATAAAATTATTTTTATAAAATATTTATTAAATTTTTTTTAAGTAAAGTATAATATTTAAATGAAATATTAATATAATTGTTTTGAGTTTAGATTTTCTTTAATTTTAATATTATATTATATTTTTAATTAATTTTTATTGGCCCACGATCAGCCCATTCGATATTTCTCAAGCCTAACAAATCAGCAGATTTATTCATGTTATGCTAAAAAATCATTTTCTTAAATGAGCTCCAAAAATTTTAGCACAATTCTATTGAATCCCAAGTTAGGCCAAACCAATCCAACTGGCCTAACCTGGGATTTAATGGGGTAGGACTAAGATTTTTGGAGCCCATTTAAGAAAAAAAAATTTAGTTCGGTCTGAATAAGTGATTTGTTGAGCTTGAGAAATATCGGTAGAGTCAGTTCGTGGGCCAATAAAAATTAATTAAAAATATAATATAATATAATATAATAGTAATCTTTAAAATTAAAAAGCGTTTAAATTCAAACCAATTAGGTTAATATTTCTATTTAGATATTTAAATTGTACTTGGAAAAAAAAACTTAATAAATATTTTATAAAGAAAATTTTGTTTGTGGGTTTGATAACAAGTAGCAACATTAACATTATGTAATATTGTTTTTCGTCGATATTTACGAAAATATTTTTAAATTACAATTTATAATTTAATTTAATAATTATAAAAATATATTTTAAAAAGAATGGGCTGGCCCGACAAACCTGTAGCCTACGTATTTGTAGGTTGGGCCGATCGTTTTAAAACCCACACTAAAAATGAGCTAGTTCAATCTAACTCGTAAAATATCAAAGCATATTATATCAACTCGAATGAAATAACATATCCCATATTGACAACTCTAATTTTGAGTAAAGAATTACGGAGAGTTCGAATAATTGTCTCCACTTTCATGAAATTATAAAAAAAAATTGCCATAAATGGAGAAACAATTAATCAAAATTTATATAAATTCATTTATGATTTTTGAAAAAATATACTATATCCTATTTGTCCTATTTTTCTCAAGGCATGAGTAAATGATTGATCCACAAGAACAGGCTTTGCCAAGAAAATTGTCTCATAATATGTTAGCACATGGTGTGGGGTCATCTTATTTTTAGAAAAAATATACTCCTACTACTTATCCTTTTTCATTCAATTTTTTCCCTTTTCTTTAGTTCGATAATATTCGAAATTTATTAATTCGATTACTACAGATTCACACGACATAAAATTCTTTTAAGAAAGATGTATTCTTTACCAAGCTTTCTTCATTTCAAAAATACAAATTGAAAATTTGATATTCGTGTATAGTTTTTCTTCTTTAGAAATATATTGACAATCTTCAAAATTTGTTAGTAAATTTTAATGTACATGCTTTAATTGAACATCATAATACATAATAAATTTTGCATATCACCCACTTTTTCGACTTAATATTTTCAAGCACTCATAAGGGGTAAAGTAAATATGTCATCTCTTTTAAATATACACTCACAACTAAAACGAGTTTGGTGTTATACTCCTAACTAAGAATAATACCTATAATTAAGGAATATAATTTTAAAGGGATTGTGTATATAATA